ACCTGCAATGTTCCAACTCTAGTTTCACCTAATGAACATTTTAAAATGTATTCTGGTGCCGGTGCTGTTGTTTCCCTTTACAGAATGACACACCTCACACCTGCTCTTCACCTTTAACTGCACACATCCTTGATTTTGTAGTTGCTGAATTTGGAAACAAAATGCGCTAATTTCTGCTTTGTGTCACCTTATTTCATGACTCGACTGTACCATTTTATTTCCTAATAAAAAAAGCTAAGTGTAATGTGCCAATGCTGAAGATGCCAAAACTGAGGAAAACCATATTTCTGTCTTTTATTTAGTGTTTTAATCGATTCTGTAACATTAAAACTATTATAAACACTTAACTTCAAGATGGCTGAAGTAGTATTCTTTGCAAAGATATTTTTATCATTACAGTACCACCACTTAAAGCTGAATTTCTGGAGTAACAGTCAGCACTGGGGAAGGTTCACAACAGGACATACTTGGCCACAACATTAACCACATAGACGTCAGGGCCAAATACTTTATGTACAGAAGAGGAATCACAAATAAACAGTTTGTATACTGTATTAATGTAGCCAAGCTAACAGCTCTACAAGGCTGCACTTAAAAATAATGGTGCTTGGAGCTAAATGCTAACACGAGCATGCTCACAGTAACAAAGCTAAAATGCTGAAGTACATTCATATACACTGCTAATCATGCTCACCATCTTACTTTAGTGTTTGATTCTAAACAATGCTGCAGGAGGTGAGCCAAAAGTAAGATTACTGAGAAGCCACAACAGGGATGCTACCCAAGAAGTCTTTTACATATTGCATGTGAAGTCTTTTAAAATATGTTCTTACTGCAGATTACAATTAAAGGAAGCGTCAATAGTCATCAACCGCAAAAACATACGGATATAAGAAGGAAGGCATCTGAGTTCCTGTTCTCATGTCTGTGGGCTGGTACGAACTGCAGTTCACACATTTCAGTCTGTCAGGATGAAGCTGAACATCTTCTGCTGCCTGTTGGCCTGTGTTCTGGGCTGTAACGCCACTGCAGGTGAGAAATGATCAAATTAATCCTATAAAATACTTGTACTTATCTGTTTTATGAAGGGGTTTCTTTAAAAATAAAATACTTCAAAGACTTTCACAAGTCAAGTAAAGGTCAGAGTCAGATTAGACGCATCATCTCAGGAAGTTGGTAAAGTTGTAAACTACGCTTTATGTTCTTTTCTCACGATCAACAATTTTTATTCTAAACTAATTAAGCAATCGTTTTGTCTATTAAATGTTGTGGCGACTTAAATGAGAATGGGATTCAAATTTTTGTGATTTTTGCGTGAAGATCTGGTAATAAACCTTTAAACATTCTGGTCACATAACATCAATGAGCAGCTAAATTCAATGTTTTTCTGAAATATTGTTTTTTGTTTTGCAGATTTAATCCATAAAGTAGTCATGCAGAAAAAACAGGTTAACTTTCCTTGTCGACGCTCTGTGGAGGGTTCAGTGACGTGGAGCAGAGAGAACAATGGAAGTAAAGTCGAGCTGATTACTGTTACTGGTCGTGGAGACATTCGACACAATGATCCAGAGAGACGATACAACTCACAGGCAGATGAATTTAAGTCACTGCTTATTATAAGAGCATCGGTCTCTGACTCTGGAAGATACTTCTGTGACGATGAACCAGCTGCAGATCTGACAGTGATCCCAACAGGTAACATCAAACTCTGTCTGCCTCTGCTAAATGTTTTATTTCAAATATAAATGAGGTGTCAACATTATGGTCATGGTTGTTGATTTAACTCATCTCTATGTATAAAATGTCCTGTTTGCATTCCCTCCACATCTGTACTTCATGTGACACATTCACTAAGGATAAGCAGAGTCTGTGCTTTGTTTCTTAGGGTTAGAGTCAGTACATATAACTGTTGAGCCTGCTGAACAACAGCAAAATGTTCCTCACTGCATCCTGCCTTGAATATCATTCATCTAATCATCCTTCAAGATTTCGGTCTCATGTTGCATTTCAGCTTTTTGTAAACAACTACATGCTTGGCAGCAACATGACCTTGGGCGGCTGTGGCTCACGTTGGGCGGCTGTGGTTCAGGTGGTAGAGCGGTTGTCCTCTGACCGTAAGGTTGGTGGTTCGATCCCCGCCCCCTCCACAGTCGAAGTGTCCTTGGGCAAGACACTGAACCTGAAGTTGCTCCCAATGGCAGGCAGCACCTTGCATGGCAGCTCTGTCGCCATTGGTGTATGAATGTGTGTGTGAATGAGAAACATTGTAAAGTGCCGCAAAGGCAGAAAAGCGCTGTATAAATGCAGATCATTTATCCTGTATTTGGACCCTAAATGCTCCAAACTTTCATTCAAAATTGACAACACAGCCTCAATAATTCTCAAGCAAAAAATGAGGAGGAATAAATATGCATAGGGGGGAAAAAGCCAACACAACCCAAGTCACTGAGCTGCAGATGCACACTGGGACTAACATCATCACAGGGGCTGCGTGTTTGGCACAATATAGTGGGTCATTGGGGTGGAAATGTTACATTTTACAAATTGCAGACATGACACATTCACATGGACTTAAATGACCTCTGCAAATATTACAGATTACTAGATGTCCCTAGGTAATACTATTCCCATGCAAGGTGAAGGTTAAAATTACTGTTTAGGGTTGATCAAAATGCGACGAGACAGTGCCTGTAACAATCAAACACTGTTTAATTAAAATTTTGCCTCTATCTCTGTCAAAGCAGTCTCCTTGTGCAGTGATACACTGCTGCCAGTGCTCTGCCAACATTTGTAAAGCTCCTTGGATGTCCCGTTCTGTCAAGTACCATCTGTGATGAGCACTGAATCTCTTAAACTGTGTCAAAATGGTGATCCCTGTACTTTCAGTTTGGGGAAGACAAAAAACATCAAAAGGAACCAAATCTGTTGTCATACACAACAGTCACAGAACTACTTTAACCACCCCTCTATGAAGCCCTCCACCTCTTTCTCCTCCCACCCCACCACCTCCTGCTGCAGCTTTAGCACACCAGCTCACCTATGGCTCTGCTCAAAAACTGTAAAACTCCTTGATGCAACACAATAGCAAGCAGTAATACTGGAGTAATTCAGTCATCATGGCACCAGAAACTGATGCTCATGAAAAATAGTGATACTGTCAAGAACTCACTGATGATAGGCAGGTGGACACAAATGCTCAACACAGATAGGGTTCAGGCAAAAAGGCAGGTTTATTGCCGTTCAGGGTTCGGTACACAGAAGGTCAATCAGATCAGGCAGAGGTATCCAGAAATCGAGAGGCAAAAAATGTCAACTTCCGAAAAACAGAAACGAGGTCGTAGCAAACAGACTATGACTTGACTTTGAAATAACGCTGGTACGAGGACTGTGAAGTGCAGCAAACTGGCGATGAGACAGCGAGACACACAAGGCAATATACACGAGGTAATGAGGGGAGATGGGAAACAGGTGCGGGGAGGTAATCAGGGAACAGGTGAGACGAGACAGGTGCAGGAAGTAAAGCTGAACAAAACAACTGGTGAAATGACTTCAAAATAAAACAGGAAAGACAAGACATAAAACATGCACACAAAACAGAAACTTGACGGACATGACAGATACAGCGAGCCGCAAATTGACAGGATTGGTTCTTGAGGTTTGATCGGTAATGATGTGACTTCTAGAATATTAAAAGAAAAAAAAAAAACACTGCATGAACATGTCACCAAGGTAAAAATCCAGACTTTCAGCACAGTTGGTCTTTGTGAACAACTTTGTTTTAATGTCCAATCTCTTTCATTGGTAGCAAGAGTAATTTATTTGTTGTTGCCTGTTAGCGTGGTTGAAAAGGTTTTTTTTTTTCTCGTGTACTTCTGCATTTCCGTCTGTTTAAAAAGAATATTCTTCTGCCCTACATTTGACATCGTTTACTGGAATCATGAATCAGCTATAAATAGCAGAACTACTTCACTCTCTGTAAAGCTAGGAACTGCCTGTTCTCTGAAAACATCTTTGAATGTTTTTTCTAATTTTAGCTGTCTCACAGCATGTAAAAATGATGCTTTGAATGCAGAGCCACTGTTTTGTTTGCTGTATCCTGTGCATTGTCTGAATTGAGATTTTTATTAACTCAATGTGTTTGTTATTCCCAGGAACAACGATAGTTAATGTTACGGAGGGGACCAACGTCACTCTGAACTGTAACTGTACTCATCATGTTGGACGATCAGGTGTTCCAATGTGGAGCAGACAAATCGCTGGAAAACAACAACAAATCAGGCCTCAAGTTTCCCCTCCGGGCATGACGTTGTTCATAACACATGTTGAAGCTGCTGACTCTGGACTGTACTACTGTGACGGCAAAACAGCAGCTTATCTGGATGTGAACAAAGGTAAGAGATCTAAGAGGTAAGAAGTCAGAGATGCTTCAAGTGAGGAAGAACTGGACATGTGTGTGAGTGTTAGTATAAAAGCTAACAATACAACAGCTAAAATACTACTAAAAATAAAGTCAACATGGAAGGCCCAAAAACTGCAGTTCTTGTTGTGGCCACTTGAGGCCAATCCCCGTAGACCTCCATGTTAAAATGCCCAACTGTACAGCAGAAACTACCATTTTTATAGGCTGGTACCAAAAGTGATTTTTGACTTTATAGCTAATTTACCAGTTCATGACAACTGTGCACCTGATCCATTTACTTTGTTTTAAGCCTTTCCGTAATTAAAGATGCAGCCAGTTTGATGCTGACTGGTTGAAAGGCTTGGTGAAAGGCCCGTCTAGTTTTTATGAACAATCCATCCATTTTCTTCCACTTATCCAGAGTCAGGTCTTGATAACAGTGAGCTCTGCAGACGTCACTCGCCTAACAATGTTTTCCAGTGGTAGTTCTGGGGGATCCCAAGGCATTCCCAGACCACATGAGATATGGCATCCCTCCAACAAGTCCAGGATCTAACCTGAGGTCTCCTTCCACTTGAAAATGCCCTATAGACCCCTAAAGTAAGGTTCCCAGGTGGCATCCTAATCAGAAACCATCTCAGCTGGAGGCTGAGCCCAGCCATCATACAGAGGAAACACATTTTGACCACTTGCATCTCATTCTTTTCATCACAACCCAGAGCTCATGATCATAGGTGAGGGTTGGAACATAGGCCGACTGGTACATTGAGAGCTTTGCCCTCCAGCTTGGCTCCTTCTTCAACAAGACAGTCCGGTGTAATGCCTGCATTACTGATCATTAAAAGCTCATTAATTAAGTTGCAGTTACAGTGAGTTTGACTCATGAAATAGCTGTATTTGTTTTTTAAAGCAGTTTTTGTTGTTGACAACAGTTCTTTCAAGACTTTTGGAGTAAGTGAAAGGTCTGTTAATAAGAAGAAGTGTGAAAACAGACCACATCATCTCAGGAAGCTGAATAATGGTGTGAATGGAGTCCACATGTCAGATGCTTTAGAAGCAGACAAGCGCATGAACAGCGAAAGTCCTTGATAACAGCTCACTAGTTGTGTTGCAGTTACAAGAATTATGCGGCAATTACTGCAGTTACCTCTATTTACACTTTTGCTTCTGTAGACACTTTACACGTTACAGGGTACTCTGAGAGCTTTAGAGACACTGGTAGGTGGTTAATTTAAATAATACATTATCATAAATAAATAAATTCTAGCATTGCTATGCTGATGATACCCAGCTCTTCTTGTGGTTCCCCCCGGACAACCACACGGTCTCCGCATGGTCATCATGCCTCGCAGACATCTCGGCATGAATTCAAAAACACCACCTTCAACTCAGCCTCTTTAAGACTGAGGTCCTTGTCATCCCAGTCAGTCCCTCTCTACAACAAGAAATCCACATCGAGCTTGATTCAATCCAACTTAAACCCACAAAATCTGCCAGAAACTTGGGTGTCGTGATTGATGACCAACTAACCTTCAAGGCTCATGTGGCCTCTGTTGTTCGGTCATGTCGATTCGCCCTGTACAACATCAGGAAGATGAGATTTCTCCTGTCTGAACATGCAGCATAACTCCTGGTATCGGCTCTCATAATATCACACATTGACTACTGCAACTCATTACTGGCAGGCCTCCCCACATTCAAACCTCTGCAGATGATCCAGAATGCAGCAGCACGTCTGGTTTTCAACCAGCCAAGAAACAGCACATCACCCTGCTGTTCAGATCGCTTCACTGGCTTCCAGTTGCTGTCCGCATCAAGTTCAAAACTCTGACACTTGCCCACAAAACTACCATGAGGACAGCTCCTTCCTATCTGAACTCTCTCCTTCGGGTCTACACTCCCTCCCGCTCACTACGCCCGACCAACAAAAACCACCAAATACAACCACCACAACAGGGCCTGAGGTCGATAGCTAGACTCTTCTCCTCTGTGGTTTCCCAGTGGTGGAACGAGCTACCAAACTCTGTTCAATCTGCTGATTCCCTCTCAGTCTTTAAGAAAAGACTGAAGACCCAGTTCTTCTCTGCACTTGACAGACTGAGAAAAAAAAAAAGAATTTCTGATTACCTCCCACACAGCCTGTTATTGGCATCAACACCCTATCCCATTTGAACTTGTTTTTTATGGCACTTATCCAGGTTGTTTTCTCCTGACTAGATCGTTGCTTGTGTTGTATTTACTTTCAGATGTATGTCACTTTGGACAAAAGCGTCTGTAAAAGGAAATTGTAGAACTGTAGAATTAATTGTAAAAATTCATGCAAAGGTTGGATGTGGCTCTGTTTTTTCATTTACCTTAAAGACATGACCATGGTATCAATCTGTTCACCCAGCTCCGGTGATTAAGAGAAGGTTCCTATCGAACTATTCCTCTCGACAGATGCTACAAGAAAACTACATAATTGTGAGCAAGTAAACAACATCCTTTGCATGTAAAGAGTCTAAGACTTGAAAACACGTTTTCTTGGCAGCTATCACCTTTTCCATTCCTCAGCAAAACTGCATAACTTTATGACTCTGTGGTAAAGTTACTTTTCCTGCTCTTTGTTTGTCTCTCTCACTCTGAATTGATCACAATAACACAGAAACAAAGTAAATCTTGAATAGAAGAAATCGAACAAACAAAATGTTTAAAATGCAGAGAATGTGAGGCAAGTAGGAAGATGCAGAGGTACTCTAAACTCTGACATAAAACGTATGAAGGTGTCATTTCTAAAAGGAAGTCAACACAACACTTGCTGCATGTGGTTTGAGTCGTGGAAAAAAAACCTGCTGCAACACAACTCACGACAAAGATGAAATTAGATGCCAATGTTCCTTTGCCAACAGTACAAAATGTGTGATTTTATGAGTAGTCAAATTCAAAAAAATACATTTAAATCTGTACTGATCATCGGTAATATCACTACCAAATACATGCAGTTAAACTGTGACAGGACAAACTGCAATTTCCAGATGCATCAACAATGTAGGTCTGACTACTCCTAAGTATTAATTTAAATATTTATCTTAATAATCTTTTTTAATATCTCAAAATAGGACATTTCGGGCATAAACAGAAACATCTGGTGCCTGCATATGAAGAAAGTTAAACATACCTACACTGTAAAAAGTGTATTTGAGCTGCAGTTGCAGTAAAGTACCTCTTCTAATTAATCTCATTTGGCTTTCTGGTTTGGCTTCAAATTGGTGTATTAATTGCAGTGAAAGTGCAAAAAAATAGGTTAGAATTGTGCATCATGTTTCATCCAATTTTTCTGCTGCACCTCCACCACTGCTGTTTTCTTTGAGTAGGACAAAATCATGTTTAACATTTTACATTTGTGTGGAGCAAGTACTTAAGTTGGAAGAATTGGAAAATTAAAGTTACCTTCTTAAAATTAAGTTGCAGCAATGCAAGCTTAATTTTACAGAGTTACATGTAACTCATATGAATCATATGAGTTACATGTAACTCATATGATTCATATGAGTTAAGAACATCTAACTTAAACTAGTGGCATTAACGTCACTTGTTAACTTAATCTGGATAAACCTAATTCAACTGTGTGTTACAAATTGAAAAAAATTATTTCAGCTAGTCTTTTTTCAGTGCAGGATATCTTTACTATGTGACTTTACAAAGCCCAACAATGTATGTATGCGGTCACGCAAAGCTGGTCATTAACTCACTGACTTCAGCCAGGGTTTATGAAACTAGATGAGTGCATTCACATGAAGGGGGCAGCATAGGCACCAGGTGACCAAACATGTATAGAACCACACTTTTGGTCATAAGAAGAACAAGCTATAAACCTAAACCAATACCGTGTATTTAGCCACCTGTTTTCTTACACTTGTCCAGAGTCAGGTCTCAGTGGCAACAGGTTAAGCAGGGCATTCCAGATGTTTTACCTCCCCAGCAATGTTTCCCAGTTCATCCTGGTGGGACGCTAAGTTGTTCCCAAGCAATATGAGATACGTAAACCCTCCAGTTTGGGGTCTACCCTATAATTCATTCCCAGTTGGCTGTGACCAAATATTGACCGAAGAAAGGGACTCAGGAGGCATCCCAACCAGATACATGAACTACCTCAGCTGGCTGCTTTCCACAGGAAGGAGCAATGGCTCAACTCTGGTTCACTCTGGATGACCAAGCTCGTCACCCAGTCACTAAAGCTGAGCCCAACCAACCTAAGGAGGAAACTCATCCTGATGGCTTGTATCTGCCGTCACGTTTTACTTCTGGTCCTGACCATAGATGAGGGTTAGAACATAGATCATCTGGAAAATGGAGATCTTTGCCTTCTGGCTCAACTATTTCTTCACCACAACAGTCCAGTGCAACACTTACATGACTGCTAAAGCTGCACCAAATCATCAGGGGAGCAAACAGTGGCAGAGAATTGTGACCTCAGACTTGGAGCTGCTGACTTTCATCCTACATGCGTCACACTCGCCTGCAAACCTCCCAAATGCATGTTAGTCATGGGCTAAGGATGCCAACAGAGCTACGTCATCTAAGCAGAGATGCAACTCTGAGGTTTCCAAACCTTCATAACTGCAGCTGGTCGTTGAGATCCTTGTCATCAATATCACAAATAAGACTGGAGACAAGGGGTAACCCTGGTGAAGTCCAACATTCAGAGGTCAGCAAGTGTAAGGCTTTAGAGCTTTACCAGTCTCTGATTTTGGATTATATTGCTAAGACAAAGCTCTATAGAATAATGAAATGGCTTTCATTCCTCTTGTTGCCAAAGCTCTACGGGATCTTCTACTAATGGTGACACTATTTTCAGAGAGAACTGACTGATCCATAGGCTGTCGCCACAGGTAATCAGCATGCAGCAAAAAAACAGACCGTAAAGGAGAGATCAGTCGGAAAGAGTGGAAGGTTCTCCAGAGGTGCAGACAGATTCATTTCCAATAACATTTTAAGCATGTTGATTTGCTATGTTGGAGCAAGTTAGATGTGCAGTATAAGGTACTATGGAGGTGAAATGAACCACAGTCACAGCCCTGAGAACCCAGGGTTAAATCTGGGCTTGCCTTCAGAAAGGAAATTTGACTGTATCCTGAACTAGGCCGTTTGTACAAGTCAGCAAATTATTCTCACGAATGTTTTGATTGGTCATAAATGCATTGTGGATATGTTTTAAGTGAATCTAAACAGTTTTTTTTTTTTTTTTTCAAAATGTAATTTTATGTATCTCTTCTGTCCCACACAGAACGTATGACAACTACAGCAAAAAGTAAGACACCATCAGCAACTTCTACTACAACTTCAAAACCAACAACAGATTTCAACAATAAATTAATTTGTACGTGCATCCAAGCTTAGAAAAATTATGACGTAAGCATCAGTTCTAACATCCAGATACGGTACAAGGAACTCAAATATACTTAGTGGTCTTTGTAAATAAAATGTTAGTTGTGTAGAGATCACATCAAGTAATCACATTAGCTATTGTGTGTTTTACTGCTACCCTGTCCTCTGTATAACATAAACTATGCTAACTGTTCAGGCAACCCACCACGTCTTGATCTGCTGTTAGGAATGGGCGCCCTCGTCCTTCTGATAATCATCATCATCGTCTTCGTCATCTTCTTTGCTTGGAGACGCAGGCTTAAAAGACGAGGTGAGTGTAGAAAAAACTGATCTAAATCTAAAATTCATAAATGGACAACAGTTTCACACTTTTTGAAACATGTTAGGAGCTTTAACATACACTTTTCGGGTCTTATTTTGTTTTGTTTTTGTAATAAAAGGATTAAAATGTCTGGGGAGCTAACTGCTAACACACCAGTCATCTGGGCTCATGCTTGTCACTCAGTGGCCCTCCAAACTTCCCTTATTTATGCTATTATTTGCTTCTCCTTGACATTTTGTTCATTGCTGTACACACATTTAATTCAGTAAAAAATAACTAAAGACGGAAAATAAAATGCTCGTTAGCTTGGCTGAGCTGCTAACAGGACATGAAGTTTAATCAGGTCATTCCTGTGAGGCGATCTCGAGGTTGTGACGACCCTGAATGAATTAAACTGGCTATGCAATTCCACAGTTGGAAATACTGGTGTGATAACGCCTTTCATTTTAAACTAATATATACTAATATTGTTGACTTCAACAGCAACCTTCAAATTACTGTATTCAAATTCATCTATTGTTTGTTTTTGAATTTTTCTTCTGCCTCTTGTGAGTCTTCCTATTTGGTCATACTCATTTCATTTTTTTAAAACTTTGTCTTTAGAATGACAAGTAACCTTCTTTCAACATAGTTATAAATTCTGAAATTAACATCCAAACCTGACATGACTTGACTTCATTTTCAACAATCCCAAGTCTCTTTATTTGTCTTACGCAAGCAGATGAAATTATACTAATACTAATTTTACTTAAAAAGTAAAATTTAGTCGTAGAAAAGCTTTATGCACAAGACCCAGCTTTATATATAACACTACATTACAGCCCAATAAACACTACTCAATGAGACATCGTTATAGCGACTGTACATGGCATAAAAGGCAGCCTGTTTGTTTCTTTATCACTAACACTGTGTCATTTTTGTTACAGAGAGTAATGAAAGATATCACGTCTATGAGACACCAGCTAAAGAGGAACTTAGGCCGGCAAATGGTGAGAAATGAGAAACGTTTTTTTCTTTTCCTGTTGTGGCCAAGACTGATCTAAAATTGAATTCTGTGGCTTCACCTGTGCAGTCAGTACTAAGACACTAAAAGCATTCGGCTGTAGTTATTTGACTACTTGTAGTCTTCACCAGTAGTTACTGGTGAGACAATAATGATCATTAGATTCCAATCAGCTGTTTTTGATGCTAATTGTTTGAGTTAATTTTCTCATTTTTGCTTTTTTTTTTTTTTTTTTTTTTTTTTTTTTTTGGCAGATATGCAGAATTCTGCTGCAGGAAATGAATGCATCTACTACATGGTAGATTTTCCAGGTAAATAATAAACATTTTTGTCATACTTCCTTTAAGAAAACCGACAGATCAGACAGTCCACCTTTAGGTGTTTTGTTGGGGTTGAGCATGTGAATGTTTAACACCTGTATTGACCTGTTTGGCATCATGCAGACATTTCCTACTCTTAAGTAACAAAAACATTAGCTTCCAATCGATCCAAGTCATTTATTTATATCTGCTGACACCTGATACCATTTCTGTAAATAAAGCACAGTCCAAGTATTGTCGATGAACTGCACTACCTTGTAAATAAAGGATCAAGTGTAGGTTTATACCAATGCTAAGCAGCCAAAGATTCCTGTGATCAGTCCAGATCATTGTTTTAGGATTTGGTTCAGGACACCCCCAGTTGTTAGCATTAGTATATTTTACTTTAATTATAAGATGTTTATCTGGTAATAACCTGAATTTTTCTCTGGTAGTTTATTTTGTAACCAAGCCTGTGGTAGGTGGGTCAGCTTAGGCTACATTAGCACTTATACCTTTAGCTTTTAAACACTGTTTCAAATTTAAATGAAATGTCTTGTGTCATGTGGTACAAGCATGACGAATCAGGGCACAACACACAGCAACATTTAGGTCCAATCAGAAAGTCTCTGGCTTTCCAGAATGAAATGCAGTCAGGGGGATGAAACTGAAACAGGTGGGCAATGTTTCAGAAAGTCAACATTTTAGGGTATCAAAACTCTAGAGTAGTGTGCATGCTAGGTGTAGATGTAGCAGAAGTTATGCATTTGAAAAATTAAAATGTGTCAGTGTGGATGTAGCGTAGGAATGTCCATTTTTAACCAAACACAAACTGAGATATCAAGAATTTCTTTAGGGATTAAGAAACAAAACTACTGCTACAACCAATGAGCCCGACTTATTGGATTTTTATTGCTAGGGGCAGAGATTAAGTCTAGTTGTGCCAACAGTTAATGACACAGCAAAAGACATTTACATGGCAGGAGAGCGTGAAATGGTCTACAGGAGCTGGGCAGGTGAAAAGATAAGATTTCAGGTTGGACCTGAACATTGAGAACAATTTATGATACTGAAAATTTTAGAGAAGAGCATCAGTATCTTCCCATGCTTCAAACAGAGATCTCAATGGGCTGGTTTTCTGAAATGACATTTACATTTTCATAAAGACCTGTATATATGCAATTAAGGTGGTGTTCTTGTAGTTATGAGGATCTCATATCTTTTGGATGTAGACCATAATAAGAACAAACAGAAGACATAGAGACATTTTTTTTCTAGGTCAATGTTTTATCATCAGATATTGTCTCAGTTCTTTTTCTTTGCTGACTACTTTAAAGATATATTTAGTGCAGATTCATGTCTTTAGCTTTCCTAAAGCAAGCTAAAAACATTCCTGTGTTGTTACATTGATCTAGAACTACTCTGACAGTCGGTTCTGCTTGTTAACTGTGTGAATAGGCGGACCAAACCAAAATGACCCCACATACTCCACCATCCCTGATCTGCCAAACACAGGAAGCAATATCGGTAATGTTTGAACTGTCGCACAATTTCAGTAAATGCTGATGTACTTCTGTTTAAATACTGTATTAAGCACATTTCATTTCTTCTCACAGAGTCCCCATATTCCTTGCTTGGTGCCACTTTTGATAATGGAAAAAAGGTAACGAATTATTGCCTCATTATTTTGGCTTATATTGTTCTGAGAGCGTCACAAATGAACTCCCAAGTTTACGAGGCTGATTATAAAATAAGAAACATTCAAAGGCAAACAATATTTATATTTTCAGATACACCAAATTGTATAAACTGGTGTTTTGTACAGTGGAAATATTTTATTTAGGCAGTCGCTTTAAATACGTAATTCAAAACAGGAGATTACAGGAACAAAAGTGTCTGTTATCAGATTACTGAAGGTGGTTTTAATTTTCAACCAGATAAAACTGCAAAACATCTTGTAACTGTAATTTCTTTTTTGATCTGCAGGTTGATCACAGCTGACTGACAGCTGGAGAAACCCAAAGCACTGACAAACAATACTGACTACTTCATAGCTTTTTGTGTTGCTGTCATGAAAAGGCTTGTGAAATTGACTTTGAGAGAAATATGTATAATATCTAAAAATGTAACATGTGGTGTAATAAAAGTCTTTAAGTTGCCAGTAAAATAGTAAATAGGAAACCTTTAAGGAAAAAGCTTGCAAGAGTTGTGGTGAATGAAAACTCATCATTTTCTTTATGTTTAGTTCACATTTATGAATTAGTTTGTCAGCAGCGATCAAGAGTATTTTTTTCTTCTGTTTTTGTTTGTGCTGGTCCATGGCTATCACCCCAGACTGTCTTTATTTGAAAACTGGCTCTATGCGAAAATTTGCAGTAGCTTGAGGCATTTATATTCACATGTGAAATTGTCATTTTAACATTAAACTTTATGCAAGTTTTTAAAATGTTTAACATTTAAAAAAAAAAAATAAAAAAAAGGTTACACATGAGGAAGAGGTTGCTGAATTAGGTCACAAAGCTTCTTAACAGCAAAGCGCCGGGTGTGGAGGATATTCACCCTGAGATGCTGAAGGCTCTGGGTTGTCTTTGGCGACATGCCTCTTCTGTGTTGTGTGGAGCTGTGAGTGAAGTGTAAATAAAAAAAACTCAATTTTCCAGGACGGTGACGCTCAGTTTTTCATTTGGTCACTGTACGAGGAAGAGGAAGGGATGAGTGTAAATATGTGACAGACTGTGGGTTCATATTTTAGGCAGATCAGCAGCTGCAGCTCTGCAGTTCCATGTTTTTTTCTGAAGATGCTCAGTTTTGTGATCTTCTGTCAGGTTTGGTTCCTGCTCACAGGTCTGGTCCGCTGCATAGAAAACTCCACAGGTACAAATTAAAATTTGGCTCTTCTTTTCTGGTGGTACGTTAATGTGACTCTGATATATTGTGTATATATATATATACTGCGGCATTTGCACAACTTCAGCAACAGTTATTATACGATATTATGATTTAATTATCATTTGCTGAATTCCATTTTTTGTAAGGTCTAATTCATTTAAATTGTTTTTATATAACATTTTCATGACAAAACTGTGGCAGAATGTCTGTACGGACATGTGATTCGGATTTGTTATGTCTTAATTTTCTGCAATTTCATGAAAATACTTGTTACCTAAAATAAAATACCACTCCTTAGATGTTGTGTTGTAACTGATATTTATCCATTAAAAAAACCTTTTATACTTATTTATATAAAATGCATATCTAACATATCTAAAAATGTATTTATATCTGTTTTGGTACAGCCATTATTTTGTGTATTCAAGTTTTTTAGGCTTCAATTTTCACACCATAAACATCAAAAAATTAAAAATGTAAATTAAAAATCGTGGGGAAA